TTCTCTGTATTAGTCTGTTCTCACACTGCTATAAAGATACTACCTGAGACTGGGTAATTTATCAAGAAAGGAGGTTTAGTAGTTCCACATGGCTGGGAAGCCTCAGGAAACTTACAATTATGGCAGAAGGCAAAGGGGAAGCAAGGCACGTCTTAAATGGCAGCAGGAGAGAGAGAGCAGAGTGGGGAGTGCTACTTTTTTTTTTTTTTTTTTTTGTAGACAGAGTCTCACTCTGTAGCCTAGGCTGGAGTGTAGCCTAGGCACGATCTCGACCTCGGCTCACTGCAAGCTCCGCCTCCCGGGTTCACGCCATTCTCCTGCCTCAGCCTCCTGAGTAGCTGGGACTACAGGCTAATTTTTTGTATTTTTACTAGAGACGGGGTTTCACCGTGGTCTCAATCTCCTGACCTCGTGATCTGCCTGCCTTGGCCTCCCAAAGTGCCAGGATTACAAGCGTGAGCCACTGTGCCTGGCCGGGAGTGCTACTTTTAAACCACTGGATCTTGTGAGAACTCACTACCATGAGAACAGCATGGGGGGAACCACCCCCATGATCCAATCACCTCCCACCAGGTCCTTCCCTGGGGATTACAATTCCAGATGAGATTTGGGTGGGGACACAGAGCCAAACCATATCACTCACATACTTCTTTTTTATTGGCTATTTTAAAGCAAATCATAGCTCTCAAGTCATTTTATTCATAAGCACTTCTGTATGCATTTCAAACTTTAAGGATTTTTTTATTCTGGTAAAAAACACATAAAGTTTACCATCTTAACCATATTTGAATAGGCAGTTCAGTAGTGTTCAGTATATTCACACTGCTAACCTTTTTCATCTTGCAAATCTGAAACTGCACCCATTAAACAACTCTCCTTTCCCCTTGCCCTAGCCCCTGGTAACCACCATTCTACTTTTTGTTTCTATGAATTTGACTAATCTCAGTACTTCATGTAAGTGGAATCGTATAGTATTTCATCCACAGTCTCATTTCACATAACACAATGTAACCTGATGTCCTCAAGGTTCATCCATGTTGTAGTATATGCCAGAATTCCCTCCTTTTTTTTTTTTTTTTTTTTTTTTTTTTTTTTTGAGACAGAGTCTTGCTCTGTCGCACAGGCTGGAGGTTGGAATGCAGTGGCACTATCTTGGCTCACTGCAACCTCCACCTCCTGGGTTCAAATGATTCCCCTGCCTCAGCCTCCCAAGTAGCTGGGATTACAGGTGCCCACCACCATGTCTGACTAATTTTTGTATTTTTAGTAGAGACAAGGTTTCACCAGGTTGGCCAGGCTGGTCTTGAACTGCTGACCTCAGGTGATCCACCTGCTTTGGTCTCCCAAAGTGCTGAGATTATAGGCATGAGCCACAGCACCCAGCCCAATTTCCTTCCTTTTTAAGGCTGACTAAATAGTCCATTGTATGGATAGACCACATTTTATGTATCCATTTATCCACTGATGGACTTTTGGGTTGTTTCTACCTTTTGGCTATCATGAATGCTGCTGCTGTGAACACTGGCGTACAAATATCTGTTTGAAGGGCTGGGTCCGGTGGTGCACACCTGTAATCCCAGCAATGAGTGTGAAGTGGTATCTCATTGTCAACACTAAGCTCTGAGTCAAGTGGAAAGTAAAGACTTTCCCAGGAGGAAAGCAGGAGGGAGAAGGTGCAGAGAATATTTAAAAATATCCACACTGATTATTTAAGCTAAAGGCACTTGAAAAACAGCAAGAACAAGATGATCACTCTCACCTTTGTGCTGTTTCTTAAAGGCAGAAGATGATGAAATTCCTGAGTGAAAGACCCCCAACCAGTACTGGAAGGAAAGGCAACATCCTTATCTTCAAGGGCGAGAAGCTGGTACCGAGATAATTCTGTGCAGACCCTTGTTAAAGTAACTGTAAAAAATTTTTTTTGAGACAGGGTCTTGCTCTGTCACCCAGGCTGGAGTACAGTGGTGCCATCTCAGCTCACTGCAGCCTCTGTCTCCCTGGCTCAAGCAATCCTTCCATCTCAGCCTCCCAAGTAGCTGAGACTACAGGCCTGCACCACCATCCATCAGCTAATTTTTGTATTTTTTTTGTAGAGATGGGGTTTTACCATATCACCCAAGCAGGTCTCGGACTCCTGGACTCAAGGGATCCGCCTGCCTCAGCCTCCCAAAGTGCTTTGATTACCGTTGTGAGCCAGTGTGTCCAGCCAAAATAGGTTTTTTTTTTCTTTGAGACAGAGTCTCACTCTGTCACCCAGGCTGGCGTGCAGTGGCGTGACCCTGGCTCACTGCAACCTCTGCCTCCCGGGCGCATTCTTGTGCCTCAGCCTCCCGAGTAGCTGGGACTACAGGTGCGTGCCACCATACCCGGCAAATTTTTTGTATTTTAGTAGAGATGGGGTTTCACCATGTTGCCCAGGGTGGTTTCGAACTCCTGAGCTCAGGCGATCCACCCGCCTTGGCCTCCCAAAGTGCTGGGATTACAGGCATGAGCCACCATGCCTGGCCCAAAATAGCTATCATCTTTTAAGCTTTTCCAACATAATTGAGTGGCTTTTTCATAATTGACTATTCTTTGTCCAATCCAGTATATAAGTAACTCTAACTGCTGCTTTAGGTCTTCATTTCTCTCTCTCTTTTTGAGAGTGAGAGCATCTTGCTCTGTCCTCCAGGCTGGAATGCAGTGTCAAGAACACGGCTCACTGCAGCCTGCAACTCCCAGGGCTCAAGCAATCTTCCCACCTCTGTCCCCTGAGTAGCTGAGACCACAGACTTGTGCCACCATGCCTAAATAATTTAATATTTTGTATAGATGAAGGTCTCGCTATGTTGCCCAGGCTGGTCTTGAACCTCTGGTCTCAAGCACTCCTTTTGCCTCAGCCTCCCAAAGTACAGGTATGAGCCACCACACTGCCTTCATTTCTTTATGGAGGCTCCCATGCCACGCACAACTTTTGATAAATAAATGTGTATGCTTTTCTCCTGTTCTTTTTTTTTTTTTTTTTTGAGACAGAGTCTCACTCTCACCCAGGCTGGAGTGCAGAGGCATGATCGTGGCTCACTGCAGCCTCCACCTCCCGGGTTCAAGCGACTTTCCTGCCTCAGCCTCCTAATTCGCTGGGACTACAGGCGCCCACCCCCACGCTCGGCTAATTTTTGTATTTTTAATAGACACGGGGTTTCGCCACGTTGGCCAGGCTGGTCTCGAACTCCTGATCTCAAGTCATCTGCCCACCTCTGCCTCCCACAGTGCTGGGATTATAGGCATGAGCCACCGTGACTGGCCCTATTCATCTATCTTGTGTCAATTTAATTCTTGGATCCTGCCAGGACGCTAAGAGGATGGAGGTGAGTCCTGCCATCCCTACAGCAGGAAAATGAGGTATCCCTTAATGCACAGAGACATAAGACACTCACAAGCCCAGCAACGTTTTCAAATAATTTATTAGGAATTTAAAACTGAAAATAAAACCTGGAAAAAGAAGTTACAGATGTGGAGAGAAGAGACACCGGAGGGTGGTAACTTGCTGGCTTCGAAACACCATGTAACATCTTAAAAAAAAAAAAAAAATCCCCAAACAAATCAAAAAACGGAATTCCAGGGTCCTGAGCCCATGGTTGGGCCCAGTGGGGTGGAAGGGTATGGGGATAGGGGAGAGGGAAGCTAAGTGTCTCAGGACTCAGCTTAAACGTGTAGAAAATTAAAAATAAAAACCAATAAAATGCAGCTTCTCTTTTATTAGGAAACATTAAAAAAAAAAAAAAAACCAAAACACGAACAGCCGCGCATCTCAGTAACAAAGATTATTGCTTTGTGTTCTCAGGGCTGGTAGGTTAAGCACCTCACACAGACAATTAACTCTCCAAAGGCGGGGTTTCCGGGTGGGGGCGATGCTGGGGAAGAGAGCTCAGGCCCTGGGCCTCAGAACTGGGGGACAGGGACACACAGAAGGGGGATGGCAGTGGGTGGGCCTTGGCCCTGCCATGCCAGCCAGGCCACTGTTCATGAAGGTCCAATGCCCTGAACATCTCTTCTTCCTTGGAAGGGGGCTCTGGGGTGAGGGCTGCCAAGGGACTCTGGCTGTGGGGTCATCCTGGTGGGAAACTTCAGTGAGAAAATGTGGGGGTTCCCTGAGACGCCCTTTGCTTTCCCCTGGGGTCTGCCCTTGCCAGAGCGTCCCCTGGTGCCCACTCATTGCGGGGGTCGAGGAGGAAGAGGGGACAGACTGAGCAGAAACCATGAAGACCCAGCCTAGGTAGGGGGCAGGGGAGACCTTTGGAGAGTTAATTCCCGTCCAGCAGTGTCTCCGGGCAAGCCCTGCTCTTCCCGCGCCCTTTGCCCCCACACTGGGTTTTCGGGGTGGGCAGGTCCAACCAAGGCCTTGACCCCGAGGGCCTGAGAGAGCGGGCCTGCCGTGGCCACAGCTGAGGCCTGCAAGCTTACAGTAACGGTGTCTGAGGGGACAGAAACAGGGGAGGGGGGAGCCCCTCACCCCCGAGGGGCCTTAGAGAGGGGTGGGCACATCACCTCACAGTATTTACATATGATACAGGACGGGATGGTTCCAGGGGCTCGGCCTGGCCTCCCTGCAGCCCTGCCCTCCTCTCCAGGGCTGGAGGGAGGCAGCCAGGGGCCCACAACCCAGATAGACACTTTGTTCTCAGCTGGTGGGGGGCACCTGGCCCCTTGCCCCCTGCGGCCTGGGGCTTCACATTCACAAACCTAGAAATAGTTTAAAAACGGTTTCTTAAAAAAAAAAAAACAAAAAAAAAACCAAAAAAAAGGAAAGAGTAAAGGAGGGGAAATCAGAATAAAAAACAGGGGTTGGGGCTGCGGCCTGTAGCAGGCTCCCTCCGCCTTCACTCTAGCTATGCACAAATCCAAAAGCCTTCTGGGGAGGGGCTGGTCCTAGGGGGGCGCGGCAGGGAGGGAGGGACCAGAGGGCTGGGGTGGACAACCGGCTAATCCAAAATAAATAAAAGCAGGGCCGGGAGCGGGGCGGGTGGGGATGGGGGCAAGGGCGAAGAGGGGGACGTTAGTAGGGGAGCCAGACGCTGTCGGGGGGTAACAGGGCAGGGGCCGGGGCCCGGGAGTGGGGGGCAGGCAGTAGCGGGTCCGAGTCGCTGCGGGGGAGGGGGCGGCGGCTGCGGCTGAGGTCTCCCGCCCCCTCGCTGGCTCACTCGTGGTCCTCAGTCAGCTGCAGGCTGGGGCGCTGGGAATACAGCCAGGAGATTATGGGGGCTCCTGGGGCACACGCAGCCCTCCCCAGTCCTCTCCCAGAAGAGATTTGTTCATTAACTATCCACTTTCTTCTTCTTACTTTTTTTTTTAGAGACAAGGTCCAGCTCTGTTGCCCAGGCTGGAGTGCAGTGGCAGTGATCATAGTTCACTGCAGCCTCAACCTCCTAGGCTCAAGTGATCCTCCTGCCTCAGCCTCCTGAGAATCTGGGATTACAGGTAATATCTGGGACTACAGGGGAAGGCAAACACACCCTGCTCATTTTTGTTGTTGTAGCAGAGATGGGGATTCACTTATTGCCCAGGCTGATCTTGAAGTCTTGGTCTCAAGCCATCCTCCAGCCTTGGCCTCCTAAAGATCTAGGATTACGAATGTGAGCCACTGCACCGCCAGACTTTGCACTTTCTGTTCCCTGGTTGGATGGCTCTTTCCCCAGATTTTGAATGGCTGGATTTATTCAAATGTCACCTTCTCAGAGATACCTTCTCTGAACCCCACATCTAAAATAGCCCTGTGATGCACAATCTGGAATTATCTCATACGTTCACTTGATTTTTGTCCTGTGAAATGAGAGAAGACTTTGTCCATCTTGTTCATCCCTCTTTCCTGGAATAGGGCTCATAAATGAATGGGTGAATGCACAGAATATCATGGGCTCACAGTCTCCCGCCATCTGGATAGACACTGTGATGGCCATGTACACAGTCCCACAAGTCAAGGTATCCTGTTGCTTTTTTGTTTATTTGTTTGTTGAGGTGGAGTCTTGCTCTGTTGCCCAGGCTGGAGTGCAGAGGCCTGATCTTGGCACACTGCAGCCTTTGCTTTCTGGTCCAAGCAATTCTTGTCCCTCAGCCTCCCGAGTAGCTGGGATTACAGGTGCACACCACCATACCAGCCAAGTTTTGTATTTTTAGTAGAGATGGGGTTTTACCATGTTGGCCAGGCTGGTCTAGAACTCCTGACCTCAGGTGATCCGCCCGCCTCGGCCCCTGAAAGTGCTGAGCTTATAGGCGTGAGCCACCGCACCTGGTCAAGGTATCCTGTTTTGATAGCTGTGTACTATACCACTATACACATACACTAATTTGTTTAACCACTCTCCTTTTGATGGATATTTCAGTTATTTGCAGTTTTAAAAATAAATGCCTAGAAGTGGAATTGTTGGGTGTAAGGGCATGAATGTTTGAAACAGGAACAAACATTGCCAGACTGCCCCGGGAACCCCTGAGCCACTGTACTTACTTGTTTCTCCCGTATCTTTATCAATGCTGGCAGTGTTCAGCTTAAAAAACCTTTGTGGCTGGGCCCAGTGGCTCATGCCTGTAATCCCTGCACTTTGGAAGGCCGAGGCAGAGGAGGATCGTTTGAACCAGGAGTTCAAGACCAACCTGGGCCGCATAATGAGACCCCATCTCTACAAAAAATTTTTAAAAAAATCTTAGCCAGGCATGGTGGCTTGTTCCTGTGGTCCCAGCTACTTGGGAGGCTGAGGTGGAGGATGGCTTGAGCCTAGGAGTTCCAGGCTGTGGTGACCTGTGACTGCACACTGCACTCCAGCCTGGGTGACAGTGAGACCCCATCTCTATTAAAAATAATAATAATAATAATAATAGGGCCAGGCACGGTGGCTTACCCCTGTAATCCCAGCACTTTGGGAGGCCGAGGCAGATGGATCACTTGAAGCCAGGAGTTTGAGACCAGCCTGGCCAACATGGCAAAACCCGCCTCTGCTAAACCAAAAAAATACCAAAATTAGCCAGGCGTGGTAGCACATGCCTGTAATCCCAGCTACTCGGGAAGCTGAGACATGAGAATTGCTTGAACCCAGGGGACGAAGTTGCAGTGAGCCAAGACTGTGCCACTGCACTCCAGCCTGGGCGACAGAGCGAGACTCCATCTAAAAAAATAGGATAAAAAATAATAAAAGATCTTAAAAAATCTTTGTGGCCTACCCTGGTGGGTCACACCTGTAATCCCAGCACTTTGGGAGGCCAGGGCAGGAGGATCCCTTGAGCCCAGGAATTTGAGACTAGCCTGGGCAACACAGTGAAACCTTGTCTCTACAAAAAAAGTAAAAAAATTAGCCAGGCATGGTGGCGTGTGCCTGCAGTCCCAGCTACTTGGGAGGAGTCTGAGGTGGGAGGATCCCTTGAGCCCAGGAGGTCTGGGTGACAGAACGAGATCTTGTCTCAATAATAATAATCTTTGCCAACCTGACAGGTGGGATGTGAAGCCTTACTGTTGCTTTGATTTCTGTGTTTAAAGGGAGTAGGGTGAGCAGCTTTTCATGTTTATTGACCACAGCTGGTATAAAGATCTGTCTCCCCTGGGACTGTGATTCTTGAGGGCAGGGATGGGGTCTGTGTCCGAGATTCGATGGCCCAGGACAGGCTTCCCCAGTGCCACCCCACCACCTGTCCCCACCTCCCCCCCATCCTCACCTCCTGCCACCGTCCCCTGCTTCAGTGGTACCCATTGGTGAAGGCTGTGGCAATCAAAGGGCCCTGGAAAGGAAAGCATTTGACTCCTAGACTCCTGGGAAAGTAGAGGAAGATCAGGGGCTCCTTCTCTCTCTGCAGGACATCTGAGGTGAGGCGCAGACCCCTCTATACCTGCCTGGATCGTCCCCCCATTGCAGGTCTGCCTTCCCAGATCGCCCGCCACTGCAGGTCTGCTCAAAGATTCTCCAACAAAGGGCCAGGGAATCTGCACAAACCAGTACCCTGGATAAAACCAGGGCACCCCGGGCTGGAATCGAACCTCCATGCGAGTAGAGACGCCATGTGTCTCATTTTCACCTAGAGCCCACTATGCCTGGCATTCAGAGGCGATAGCTAAGTGTCCACTGAATGAATGATAACCCCCACTGTTCTTCCTTAGTGACTCTTTCTCCATTCACCCTCCCTCACCCTCCTTTTGCCCCCAAAGACAAAGAAGGTCTCTCCCTTCCCCAACCTGGGGGTCTCTCAAGGTGTGAGGGGTGAGGTGGAGGCCGCCAGGCCTGGCCACTCACCCCAAGACTGTGGCCAAAGCCGGTGCTGGGGGCAGGGCTGGCGGCGCTGATGTAACTGCTGACCCCCGAGTCCTGGTTGGCTGCCCCGTAGAGCTCAGCCATGGGGCCGGGGCTGGTGGTCCCCAGGAAGCCCCCTGTGCGGCTGGGAGTCGAACCTGGAGGGGGAGCCATCGTCCAGGGGTGAGAGCCTGGCAACCCAGAAAGAAGACGGTGATAGCCCTGGTGCTCTCTGCCACCCCACGGCACCCCCTCAAGCCTGTCCCACCCACCCTGACCTGGACCCCCACATTTCAGGAAGTCCTGTGGGCCCACCTCCTGGAGATCTCCCCACACCCATCCACCCAGTCACCCCAGCCCTGACCCCCATCATCTCATCTGACCACTCAGCAGCCTCCTCTCCTGAGTCCCTTCCCAACCTCACCGCACCTGGCAACTGAATGCATGTTCTAAACCCTGACCCGCGTCCCTCTGCTACTTGCAATTTCCAAGGTCTCCCCAGCACCCGGGCTCCTTCTGCCTCTTTTCTCCACTCCCTACTTCTGCACTCTCCACACCCACTGGCCTCCAAGCCTTAAATATGCTATTCCCTCAACCAGAAACACTTTTCCTCCTCTTTGCCTTTGAATGCGAAGTTAAGGGGCCCTTCCTCTTGGAAGCCTTCTCTGGCCTTTCCTAGAGGCCCCAGCTGGGAGCTTCTCTGGTACCGGACACCCCCTAGTGCAGCAGCATCAGCCATCAGCATTATTGCCTTTTTAATACCTGATGCCACCACCAGGCTGCAAGCCCTGGAAGGCAGAAACCCTGTCAGTCTTTTTTTTTTTTCCCTTTTGAGACAGACGGAGTCTCACTCTGTTGCCCAGGCTGGAGTGCAGTGACGTGATCTCAGCTCACTGCAACCTCCACCTCCCAGGTTCAAGTGATTCTCCTGCCTTGGCCTCCCGAGTAGCTGGGATTACAGGCATGCACCACCACGCCTGGCTAATTTTTGTAGTTTTAGTAGAGACAGGGTCTCACCATGTTGGCCAGGCTGCTCTGGAACTCCTGACCTCAGGTGATCTGCCCACCTCGGCCTCCCAAAGTGCTAGGATTACAGGCAGGAGCCACCTCGCCCGGCCGACCCTGCCAGTCTTGCTGCTGGCTGGCTCGCCCATGCTGGCACGATGCCCAGCACAGAGCAGGTGATCAGTTGATACTTGAGTAAATGAACAAGTGTCCCTCTGCAAAGGGATGGCAGTGGCCACCTCCCCTCCCCTGGACTTCTCTGCTCCCTGTGCTGCCTCATCTCTCTTCTTGCACCCCGGAAGAGCTCACCTGTCCCTCGAACCACAGCCGCCGCCGCCGCTGCCGCCGCCATTGGTCCGTAGGCAGTGAGAGGAATGGCTGAAAAGAAAGCGATGGGCACATCAGCATGACAGTGGGGGCAGAGGTGGGTGAAGGAGGCCCCTACCTTCTAGCCAGAGCCTCTCCAGCCTGGCCTTACCTCACAGGGGTCCATGTAGCCCCAGGGTCAAGGCAGAAAAGGCTACCTTGGGCCACCATCTGTGTCCTGACCCATGGCATGGATGGAAAAAGGTGGGAGAGAGCACAGCTTCCCAGTGAGTAGCTGAGCCTCAATTTCTGCCCTGGACTGGGGGCACATGCTCCAACAACCCAAAGCTCACGGAGGGTGGAGGCAGGGCACCCAACCCCGAGCAGCTGTGAAAGTTGCCCACAACTGCCCCCTTCTCCAGGGTGCCCTTGGCAAAACAGGTGGCACTTGGCCTAGAGGTGCCTGGGAGCTCACATCCTTCTTCACAGCCCACAACAGCTAGTGATAGATGACACACGGGACAGGCCCCCAGGCCTGCTGCTCCCAGGTAGAGCGCCCCAGGGGTCAGGCTGGGGCTGGGCTCCCACTGAAGCCACAGCTTTGCACCACACCCTCTGCTGCCTGTCCTGCTCCCCTCACCCCTATCCCCTGAGAGCACCCCAAGTGCCTCCCTGACCCCCAGAAATGACCACTGCCTCCCCCAAATCCCCTCAGCCTCCTTGTTTGCCATCTCCTCTTCAGACACAGGCACCTATCCCCTTGTTTGCTGTCTGCCTTCATCTTCACCTCTGCAGCACCTAGCACCTTGCCTTGTACACAGCAGGTGTTTAATAACTGCTGAAGGAGTAGAAAGGGCCTCTGCTTAAAACACCTAGTGGCTTGAATGGCTTGAGCCTGGAGCTCCCCGGGGCTGAGAGGTGAGCACCTCCTACTGTGAATCTTTCCTGAAAACTTCATACAGTGGGCTCCTTCTCACTCAGATGCCACCTCCTCTAAGAAGTTTTCCCTGAATACCCCCACTGAGGTGGCCCTTTGTCCCCAACCCTAACGCCTTAGCACATTTCCCTGCTTTAATTTCCTTATGGAACTTCTCACCCTCCAAAAATATATTGTTTTAAATTAATTTTTTTGTAAAGATAGGGTCTTGGAAAGGCCAGGTGCGGTGGCTCATGCCTGTGATCCCAGCACTTTGGGAGGCCAAGGCAGGCGGATCACCTGAGGTCGGGAGTTCAAGTCCAACCTGACCAACATGGAGAAACCCTGTCCCTACTAAAAAAAAATACAGGAAAAAAAAAAAAATTAGCTGGGCGTGGTGGCACATGCCTGTAATCCTAGCTACTTGGGAGGCTGAGACAGGAGAATCGCTTGAACCCGGAAGGTGGAGGTTGTGGTGAGCCAAGATGGTGCCATTGCACGCCAGCCTGGGCAACAAGCGCACAACTTCATCTCAAAAAAAAATAAATAAATAAAATAAAATATAGGGTCTTGGTATGTTGCCCAGGCTGGTCTGGGCCTCAAGCTATCCTCCTGCGTTCGCCTCCCAACTCCTCCTGTGTCGGCCTCTCAAAGTGTTGGGATTACAGGCCTGAGCCATAGCACCCAGCCCAAAAATATCTTATTTGCTTTGGGGATACTCAGGTAAGCCTTTCTTGTTTTACTTGATTTTTTTTTAGACAGAGTCTGGCTCTGTTGCCCAGTCTGGTGTGCAGTGACATGATCTTGGCTCACTGCGACCTCTGTCTCCTGGATTCAAGTGATTCTCCTGGCTCAGTCTCCTAAGTAGCTGGGACTACAGGCATGCACCATTATGCCTGGTTAATTTTTTTTTATTTTTTATTTTTAGTAGAGATGGGGTTTCACCATGTTGGCCAGGCTGGTCTCAAACTCCTGACCTCAGGTCATCTGTCTGCCTCAGGTTCCCAAAGGGCTGGGATTACAGGCATGCACCACCACGCCCAATTAATTTTTGTATTTTTAGTAGAGACGGGGTTTCACCATGTTGGCCAGGCTGGTTTTGAACTCCTGACTTTAAGTGATGCACCTGCTGTAGCCTCCCAAAGTGCTGGGATTACAGGCATGAGCCACCATGCCTGGCCTGTTTACTTGTTTACTGCTGTCTCCTTCCTCTGGAATTTCAGTTCCAGGAATGCAGGAACCTTGTCTGTCTCATTCACTGTTGTGTCCCCAGTGCCTGGAGTGGTGCCTGGTACAATTAATATTGATTGAATGCATGAAAAAACCACCCAAATCTCCTTTTCTGCAAGGTTAGAGAAAAGTTCAGATCCCAGGTGCCCAAGCACTGTTGATCCTTGACCCTACTCCCTTGCCTGCCAAGATATCTTTTTAGAGACATTTCTTCTGTCATTTCTTTAAGGCCAGGGATTGGGCTCTGAGGTCTGTTGTTTGGCTCATTTAGGCATTTCCATAAAGTCAGAGGAGTCAACCCTAGCACGCGCTTACCATACTGTAAAGAATGACTTATTTATATAATAAGTATTTGGTCCCCTCTCTAAATTGCAAGTTCTGTGAGATCAGGGCCTGCCTCTGTCTTATGCCTGCTCTGTCCCCAGGGTCTGGGAGAGCATCCTGTGCACAGTAGGTCCGTAACACATGGCGCTCTGTTGCCCAGGCTGGAGTGCAGTGATGCAATCATGGCTCACTGCAGCCTTCACCTCTTGGGCTCATATGACCCTCCTTCCTCAGTCTCCCAAGTAACTGGGACCACAGCCATGTACCACCACCACACCTGGCTAGTTTTCAATTTTTTTTTTAGTAAAGATGGGGTTTCACCATGTTGCCCAGGCTAGTCTTGAACTCCTGGCTTCAAGGGATACTCCTGCTTTGGCCTCTCAAAGTGCTAGGATTACAGGCATGAGCCACCAGACCCAGAACACATATTTCTTAAATGAGTATCAAGGACCTCCTTCCAGCCTTCCACCCCCACAACTATTGGCCAAACTCTCCCTCTTTTCAGGGAAGAGCCTCTGTCACTTGCATCTCTAGGGTTCTCCTCCCACCCCTTCCTTCACTCCAGGTTTCTCTGCCTCTCCCCCATTTTGGGGGAACCCTGAGCACTCCTTGGAAGGAAGGTCTTATCTAAAGTAAGGTCCATGCTCACATCTTCCACACATGGCCAGGTTGAGGGGAGAGTCTGGGGGTGGGGTGGGGGAGAAGCAGGTTGGACAGAGAAACCCCGCGCAGCCCACCCCACGTGCTCGCAGTCTCCTCGGCTCAAGGCCAGCCCTGCAGCTGAGCTGGCTGGCCCAAGTGAAGGTTCCAGTCAGGGAACCGGCCCCCTGTCACCTTCACCCTACTGGTCCAGAAGTCACCAAAGGGCTGGATTCGGCCCTTGGCAATATTTCATTTGGCTCACAGTGTTGTCAACATTTAGAATCTGCTGCCAACATTGAAAAATAATGGACAAATTCATACGAAAGCAAAAGCCAGGTTTCTGGCATCTCTGGAAAAACATGAGATCTGAGCACAGTGAGTCTGTATCCCCCCCCTGGCAAGAGCTGGCTGGCACCGAGGGCAGGTACGCCCATGCCGAGTGCAGACGTCCCCACCCGGCCCACTCTGCAATCAGTTTGAGACCCTGGCTTGTTCACTGCGGGATCCCAGAGCCTCCATGGAGCTGGCACAAGGAAGGTGCTAGATAAATATTTGCCAAATGGATGAATGAGTGACTTTGCCTCCATCTGCTTGGCTTGGCCCTATGCCCCACCCTTAAGGGCCATGTAGCCGCCCAGACTGGCCAGTGCCCAGGCACAGGCTGCTGTGTCCCCACAGCCAGAGGGCTGGCGGGCAGGAGAAAAGGATCCCGTTAGCTTTCCCCAGGAAGCTCCCTGGGCCCCTTCTCTTTCTCCCCATGTGGCCTGAGAGGTATACAAAATCCGAGCGACTGACCTGTAAGCTCGGGGAGGACTGGGGCGCTCGGGAGAGGGGTCCGCTCTACACGGAATTCTAAAATGAAACGTAAAACAGCTTAGGAAGAAGCAGGGGAGGCCCCTTGGACATGGCCCAGGGAGGACAAATGCACCGACAGGGACACTGGGTGAGGAGACAGGCCATGCACAGGACCCAAGAGCTGGGGAGGGGGAGCGCACAGTTCCCAGAAGGCAGGGGAGGGCAAGGAGACAGACATAGAGGAGAGAGAGACAAAGCAGAGTTGCCACCTATACCCTGGGCACAGGGCAAAGCTGGAGGTATGATTCCAGTTGTTTGTTTCCTTCTTTTCTTTTCTAATTTTTTTTTTTTTTGAGATGGAGTCTCGCTCTGTCGCCCAGGCTGGAGTGCAGTGGCTGGATCTCTGCTCACTGCAAGCTCCGCCTCC